TTATGTATGTCCTGATACAATTTTTCAACGATTTCGGGAACACGGATCAACCGATTTGAATAATTCAAAAAACATTCGATTCGTATTGATAAGGAGACGTGCTGATTAGTTTTTGGCGAAGGCAGGCTTAGCCGTTCCGAAGATACGGGGCAAAAAGTGCCGAAAACGGTAACTCAGTTTTTAAGAGAACGGAGCATCCGATTTTAATAATTCAAAAAACATTTTACTTGTATTGACAAGATGAAGAATTGATAAAATTTTCATGAGGGCAGGTCTAGCGGTTTCGGAGATCTAGTGAAAAAAGTAAAAAAAGCCATTTGGCGGTCAAAAATGATCATTAGACATATGCACATCAAATTATCAGATATTTTATAGAGATTTTAACAATAAGTATACATTTTGTTTACATTCCTATGGGTTCCGTACCAATATTTATCCGTTAGACAGCGACGCGACGCTCACGCGCTTTATATTTTGTCTCTATGCAGTTAAAGCAGTACGATTGCTTTGAAAAAAAGTTCAGATCTTCCAAAATATGTCAAAATAAAGAAATTTTGATTTTTTTTTTTTAATTTTTTTTTTTCAAAAAAGCAATTTTTTGTCCAGTTTATAGTTTCTCAAAAATCTTATTTTTTCGAAGTAAATTTTTTTCAAAAATGTTAATCGTTTTTAGAAAAATAATAATTTTTGGTACGGGAAGTTCCAGCAATTTGCCTTAAGGCACGATGCCTTATTTGCCTTAAGACAGAATTCCACTTACAGCTAGTTCACACCTATAATGTTTAATTACGGTACGGAGAGAAGATTCATCAATTTCCCTTGCGGCACAATGCCACTTACACCTAGCTTGAAAATTAGTGACTGCGAAGATCGTCGTCAGATTTGATTTGTCTAACAAAAGTTTCTTCATCTCGCCCACCGCACTTTCGAAGCGACTAATAACACTATCGCTGAACTGAACCCCAAGCGAGCGCAATGATGCATATTTGTAGTCACCAGGAAGTAGGCCCATACAAACGCAAGCCGAGGCTATGCGCGGCATTTGTTAATACATGGCCGGTACATACTAATACTACATACTACATACTACATAATATTACATACATACCATGCAGCTTGAAATATTAATAATGGCGAATTACGCAACACATTAATGGCCGTGGGCATCAAAATTGAGGTCTGCGAACCGGAATAATGGTAAAAGTTAATTAATACTAACTGAAGTCAAACTTACTATGGTCTACAATTTTTAAAAAGTCGATTTTGTTTGTTAACTTTCCATAGGGGAACTTGTAGTAATCGCAAAAGAAATGAAAATGAAAATGTTTATATATCTTTACGTTTTAGAGGTTTCTGAACATTTTGGCATACCTTAGAAAAAATTGATTTATGTCTGTGTGTGTGTGCGGATACAAATTTTTGTCGACGATTTTGCGAACACGGATCAACCGATTTGGATAATTAAAAAAAAACGTTCTATTCCTTTCCATATATATATATATATATATATATATATATATTGATGAGTTATTTAGAATCGGGCAGTAACACCAAGTAAAAAAAACTAAAGTAGTTTTGAAATACTTCATTTATCCATATGTTTCGGTCTTTATCGAGACCGTCATTCAGTGGAAAACTAAAAGATTTAATATGATGTAGGAGGAAAATAATATAAAGTTATAGAACTTATATATAAGTACTTACAGAAATTAATTATACAAAAATACACTACACTATTACGCTGTGATAAACCAGGCTATTGATAATTGGAACATTTAAACTAATTAATTTTTTTGACAATTTTCTCTGAAAAATCTAATAGTTTCAAAATTTTCAAAAAAAAAAAAGAATTCTAGTTCAGAAAGTTTTGGTTCCACTAATTTGCCTTAACGGGCACAACTTGTATGAAATTTTCAAAAAATTGAATTTTCAATTTTTCCATATTTCGATAGGTTATAGTTATATCTTTAAAAATAACATACCTAAATTTTAAATCGATATTTTAAATTTTTTTGTGTTACAGCCATTTAAAGAGTATATAAAGTATAGTATAACGATCATTTAATTTAAACGCGTTTTTCTCGAAACAGCATTTTGCGAATTTGCTGCAGCGATTACTCAAAAACAAATGATCCGATCACTATCAATTTTTTTTTACATATTCTATATATAGTTCTCCGTAAAATGAACTATCGATTTTTTGATCGGATCAACAATCGAATTTTGGCAGTCCAAAAACGACCAAAATTTTGGATAAAATTCGACTTTTTTTAAAAAAAACCGTCATTTTGTCAATTTTTGATTTTTTTTCTTTATCGTAGTTCATTTTATAGACAATATTACCTAGTTTAACAAGAATTTTTAACTTCCCGTAGGGTAAGTTATAGTAATCGCAAAAAAATCGAAAATGAAAATTTTTATATATCTTTACGTTTCAGAGGTTTCTTAACATTTTGGCATACCTTAGAAAAAATGGATGTATGTGTGTGTGAGTGTGTGTGTGTGTATGTGTGTGTGTGTGTATGTATGTATGTGTGTGTATGTATGTGCGGATACAAATTTTCGTCGACGATTTCGGGAACACGGATCAACCGATTTGAATAATTCAAAAAACATTCGATTCGTATTGATAAGGAGACGTGCTGATTAGTTTTTGGCGAAGGCAGGCCCAGCCGTTCCAAAGATACGGAGCAAAAAGTGCCGAAAACGGTAACTCATTTTTTAAGAGAACGGAGCGTCCGATTTTAATAATTCAAAAAACATTTGACTTGTATTGACAAGATGAAGAATTGATCAAATTTTCATGAGGGCAGGTCTAGCGGTTTCGGAGATCTAACGAAAAAAGTAAAAAAGAATGCCATTTGGCGGTCAAAAAAGATCATTAGACATATGCACATCAAATCATCAGATATTTTATAGAGATTTTAACAATAAGTATAAATTTTGTTTGCATTCCTATGGGTTCCGTACCAATATTTATTCGTTAGACGGCGACGCGCCGCTTACGCGCTTTGACATTTTGTCTCTATGCAGTTAAAGCAGTACGATTGCTTTGAAAAAAGATCTTCCAAAATATAACAAAATAAAGAAGAAAACATTATTTTTTCCAAAAAAAATTAAAAAGAAAAAAAAAATAGATTTTTTTTTGAAAAAATTTTTTTTTCAAAAAAAAGTAATTTTTTGTTTAATTTATAGTTTCTCAAAAATCTTATTTTTTCGAAGTAAATTTGTTTTAAAAATGTCAATCGTTTTTAAGAAAATAATATTTTTTGGTACGGGAAGTTCCAGCAATTTGCCTTAAGGCACGATGCCTTAATTGCCTTAAGACAGAATTCCACTTACAGCTAGTTTTTTTTAATTTCATCCACGTAGAAAGCCGGAATCACTGCAACAGTGAAGGGCCACTTTTTTGTCGCGCCGTTGGAGATCGATGATAACTTAAAAAATATTCAATTTTTTTCTTCAAAAATTTTACTATGCATTCTTAAAACATAAATATATTCCTAAAATTTTGAAATGATTGATAAAGTAGTTTTTTTAATATAAATTCCCAAAAATCACCTCTTTTTTAGGCGGTTACACTAGTTGTGCCCCATAAGGCAAACTAGTACGAATATTTTTACATCTGAATAACGAGACTACAATAAATTTTTTATTTTATCTCCCTCTGTCACACTCATTTTCTTCTATCTAATATCATGTAAATGCAAATGATTCTCTTATTAAAGTATCGTATTTGATTACATTTGGCATTTGTATACGTGGATATGCGATATGAGCATTGAGTTGATATCTTTTCCTCTGAATGATAACGTATCGCACGCGGAGCCTTCTTTCGCTGATTGCGACATCAACACAACACAACACACGATCTGTTTTCAAGGTGCAAACGGGCGACGCCCGTTCGATCTCGATTAACGTTTGATATTGATTACGATTGCTCCTATGCAGGCAGGCATTGGCAACCTGGCAAAATTTATTAAGATATAGCCTTTTTTCTTCATTATATATACATATATTATTGTTTAACCCTTACCGCACGGCGCTACAATTCGGTGCCGCATTCTTACGGAAACGTACCTGCTGTAAACTTGATATTATTAACAATTCTCTGAAAGTTTTAGCTAATATTGTCTTTTAGATAGAGCGAATAGCATGGAAAAATTTCAATAAAAATGACACAAATTTTCACTTTTAATTCATTTGTCGCTTAGTTATACCTCAAAAATTTTTTTTTTAATTTTCTATTTTTTTTCCATGCTATTTCCATACGAAGTTTGATTGAATGGCGCACTATCTAAAAGTTAATATTACAATTTGGAACCATTTGAGCCCTATCGAGCAAGGAAATTCAAAAATGCCCATATTAAGGACCACCAAAATTGGATATATATATATATATATATATATATATATATATATATATATATATACATCCATCCAATTTTGGTGTTGGGATTGGTATTTACTTCAAATAAAAGAATTTTGAATATATACTCGCTACGTTCCTGGTACAAATATACCTATAATGAGTGTATATGTAGGCTGATGATTGAAAATCTACTCCAATGACTGTAATTCTATTTTCATCTAATTATTCTAATACATGAATGATTGTAAATCAGGCATATTTGCATATTTCTTTTAATTGCCCTTCTTAGGGGCTGCGAACAAAGTTTTATATCGACATTATTAATTTGTTTTTTTGTTATTATTGCGCCCGATTGTTTGGCTCTGTTCATACATGTGCCAACATCAACGAGAAATGATTGAAAATAAATAATGGCAAATAATTATTTATTCGGGCTTGAAAAAGAGAAATGAATTTTTCCTTCATTCGATAGCATATAGATTTTTCTTGCAATAACGTTCCAATCGATAGACAATCCATTCAATAATTGTTTTTGAATGCTCGTTCTATTTCCACGTTCTTTTAGAAGCATTACTATGCATTTTCTAATGAAAACAAACAAATGTACATACTTATTTATTTTATTCAGGCATATTCCAAAAGTAAAAGCGACCACAATGGCTGAGACACCGGAATTGAAGCGGATCGCTGAGAACACGAAGATCCAGTCAAATGTGAAGTATCATGCCGATTTCGAGAAAAGCAAAGGCAAATTCACGCAGGTACGAATATAGAATTATATTTATGTTCAACTTTATTGAACTCTCCCGTCGCCTAGAAGTAAGATGACCATACGTCCTGGTTTGGCCGGGAGAGTCTCGGATTTTCACCTTGTGTCTCGGGTTTTTCTGAAAGCAATATTTGTCCCGGATTTAGATGTTCTGTCCAGGATTGTCCCGGGTTTCCGAAAAGTATAGGTATAAATTGAATATTTCCAATTACCTGATAATAAAATTACAACAATTCATCCAATATTTGATAATACAATGAGTATGCTTATATGAAACAATACGTTATTAATAAGAAAAAAATATGATATATATAGCATTCAATAGAATAATTAAGTCCTACTAAAAATCTGTTATTCTGATTAAAATCAAACAGTATAGTCAATAAAAAATCTGATTTTAAGCAAAACTTAGCAAAACAAAAAAAATGTGGTCACCTTGCCTATGGACTTCAAAACTGGCTCTGATGTGAAGCAGTCGTTTCACTTGGAAATATAAGTAGCAATATGGTTCTAACAATAAGTGAAAATAGCGGTCCTATCTTCGTATGAATTTTTAGTACAAAATGCTATGTATCTGCTTGTCTGATCAGGCATTTCACATGTCAAAAAATTAAAAATTTTCAAGTTATTCAAAGTTTTTAAAATTAAAGCTTTAAAAAAAAAAAAATTATGGTACCAGAAAGTTCTATCAATTTACCTAAATGCACGATGCCATGCACCACTAGTTGAATTGTAAGATAAGATTAATATGATTATCGATTTTTTCAATTCAATAAATTTCATAATTCCCCTAGGTCGCCGACGACCCAGAGACCTTGCGCATCAAACAGAATTCGCGCATAATAAGCAACGTGGCCTATCACGGGGACCTCGCCAAGAAAGCGGCCATGGAAAAACAGCGAACGATCAACGAAAATGGTGAATTTATAGGTAAATTAATTGATTCATTAATTATTATCAGCGGTGTTCAATACATTTTTTAAAAAATCAGATTTTTTATTATCACTATATGTTCATAATAATCACTAACGCATGCGTGTTTGTCTCTTCTACACGTTCTAATAACACCATCATTGTATAAAGAAAAACATATTACAGTGAATTCCAGAGATGAAAACACTTTTGGTCTTAAATTGTTGAAATTTGTTAATTTATCTTTCAGTAATCGTCTTATCATAATAAAACATTGTTCGTACATTTATGCACAACATACCATAAATATTAGAACAGTCAATCCTCCCTATTACAACCGCACTTTTATGACAAGGTACTCTTACAGAGCGGTTTTCGTTCAACAACCCATATATGGTTCTTGTAACTAGATAGCCGTGTATGACATCGGTTTTAGTTAATGTCAGAGCTTTTTCACAGCATCTTAGTTATTCTGAAAAAAATTTTGCTTGATTTTCTGAATTTTTTAATCTTTTGTTTCATTTTTATTATCCGATCCTTATATAAACTGCTTCCTTATATATTGCTCTCCATATAACGTGCAAATATACTAATTCTAAGTTTCTTGCATCGCGAGAATTCGAATTTTTATAGCATGTTTTCTCTATTACACTGTACGCACTCACCGCGTTATGGGAGGGTTAGCTGTACTTATTTCATTTGATATTTAGTCAGTACTTTTTATTGTGTTGTTTTTGGCAATCAAAGCTTTTTGTAATCAGTGTATGGTAACTTTCATAATTGTAGTTGTTTAAGATTCGTCAATCATTTCATCTGTAAAATTTAAAATTTTATTTGATTAATTAATCCTTTATTTCATTTATGTTCTGCGCTTAAATGTTTTGTATACAGGTTGTGTTGCTTTTATAGATGCTTGCGAAACGGAGGAAAATCTTTCCGATAACTACTTAAACAATACGAATTCCAGTAAAACATACAATGCACCATCTGTTGTGCCACAAAGTAGTATGCTTGGTAATACGCAGCATGCTCAAGATTCATATCAGTCTCCTGACAACTATCAATCTCAACCTAAGACAATGAGTTACCCAGAGCCAGATGTAATGAATCCGCCTCGTACATTGCCACCAAATGCGCCCAATTATAATATGCCGCCCACTTACAACTCTCAACAGTATCAAACTAGTGGAATGAATCCCAATTCATATCAGAATCAGTCAAATGCACAATATCAGCAGCAGCAGCAGCAACAGCAACAGCATTACAAACAGCATAGTCAGCAGCAGCAATCGTATACCCCAAATCAAAATACTGCACAGCAAACACAGCAGATGTATCACCAGGGCAACCAGCAGGCCTATAATAATGCGCACAAGCCGAATTATGTGAACAATTCCTCATACGGCAATCAAAATATGCAAATGAGTCAAACAATTGGAAAGATTGCTGACTATGATCCAGTCACAGATGGACCGAGAAATACACCATATACTTCAAGACAGAGTTCTACTCTTATTTACAGTTCCGATAGGGGCGCAGGTAAATTCTATAATAGGTACTTGAATTAAGATATAGATTTAACTAAAATGCAAATATCAGTTTATCATGATTCAGAGGTAAATGATTTATATTGATTCACAATATGGTAAGATATTTGGGTTTTAGGCAGATAGTTATACATTGCTTGCTATTTGTGTTATATTTATGTGTTATTCATTATCAAAATTATACTTCATACACACACACACACATACATATATATTAGGTTGTCAAATATCTCCCTTCCGCCTTTTTGGAGCAAATATATATATATATATATATATGCATGATATATATATATGTTATCATATTCTATATATCATATATAACAACAGTAGTAACAGTAAACTCATTTTTGTTTGAAATCATATTTTATATTATTAGAAAATATTTCATATAACTGTGTTTTTGTAGTAAGTGGTCAAGCACGAAGAATTGGATCAGTTGCTGATATGGATCCTGTGAGTTATGGATACAATGCTATGCCTCCAACGCCAACACATAATGTTACGCAGCAGTCAGGAGTAAGTTGATGAAATATAAATACTATATATTATATAGTATATATATATATATATATATATATATATATATATATATATATATTAATTTAGAAATATGAACTAACAGTACTCTTTTTTGCACTAATTTATTAAATATTATTTTACAAATGTTTTGAGACTAGATTTGTTTCATCATCAGTGTATTATAATTTAAAATCTAAAATATGAATGTAGCACTATGTGTTAACTGTTCCTACTTTCTCTGATTACTGGTGAGAATGCCAAATGATTTGTAGGAGAGTAAAACATCTGTACAAGGTCAATTTGGTGACTCATGAAATATCGAATAGGAATAAACGGGAATAAGGCCCAGTTGATAAATAGATATTGATTTGAGTTTGAAAGCATTTGAAAATAGATTTGAGTTTAAAAGCAAGCCTTTTTTTAGAACGTTTTTCACTGTTAGTTATTTTTTATACTACAAAATTGTTAGAATTAGATGTTTTAGAAAAAATAAAATATCAAATAGATACGAAAACATGAGAATTAAAAAAAACTAAAATTGAAAAAAAAAACAAGTTAGAGATTTGAAGAGTTATTTTAAAAAAAATTGATAATATGTATTATGAAATGATCATGTACTAACAAAGCAGAATTTCGTTTATTAACGCAAAAAGGGCTTAAAAGATAAATATAGATTCAGCAAATTTTCTGAGGTCACCATTTTTTCCTTATGTAAAATAATAGAAATCTTGGTATTAAGAGTATGGTTTAAACTAATGATATGTACCGACAACATAGTCTTATATTGATTTGCATTTTTTGAATTACAAGTATGCTGATTTATTCTCTTTGAAATATATGAGAACTTTTTCTAATGTAACATATATATTTATATATATATATATATATATATATATATATATATATATATAATGTATGTTTATCTTTCAAATTCAAAATGTCTATATATTAAAACCAATTATTGGTAACAGCGAGTCTATCGAGCCCTATATGACTACAGCGCTCAAGATGTGGACGAAGTCAGCTTTATGGACGGTGACCTTATAGTAAATGTTTCCTGCATTGACGAAGGCTGGATGACCGGAACTGTACAACGGACAGGAATGACTGGAATGTTACCTGCTAACTACGTTGAGATTGCAAGCATATAATTGTCAAAAGCTGTTACATTTAAGTAATGAATTCAAATATTGTTATTCAAATTTTGTCACAAGGTGATGAACTTCAAATAAGTTTTAATTTTTTTTTTGCATGGTCATGGTCGTAAAATACTGCACTTTGTTATTTTTTTGTTGTAAATAATGGATTTTTTCGGTATGTTATCAATTTAATTGGATTTTTTTTGGTATGTTATGACCAGATTTTTTTTTATTTTCTGCATCACATTATTAAGCCATAATGTAACATAATTACAACTGTAATTTTAATATAGTATTTATTATATTTAGTTTATTCTTTAGGCAATGCAATGCCATTTTATTCGAAAAAGGAAACCAGATATCGATGAAGTTCAGTATTGTAAGTTTTAGTATTTGTTTTTGCTTGATACTTTACATTCCTTATGCATTTATTAACAAAAATATGATTAGCCTTATATTCTCATGTATGGTATGGCTCAATTTGTCTTCCAAAAAGCCTTAAAAAATTAATTAAATATGGTGCTGTTATATTTTGTGCCTTACTCAACTGCAAACTGAATTTTTTACATTTATACATGAACAATTTTAATTAATTGAATATTGCTAATCTAAATTTAGGTATACATATGTTTGCCAGTATTAATACTAAGTAATTCGGAATACTCTGGTTTATTTTTTTATGCTTTCAATCCTTGAACATTTATTGAAATAATATGTACGTATTTATTAAAACTTTCTAAAAAATACTGCAATCTTCAGAACAATATATGAAACTGAATTGATGTTTTTACATGTAAATATGTTATAAGTGTATATAAATAGTTTTGTATATTGTATTATTTGGAACATAAAATTGATTAATTTATTGCAAGTTAAAATAGTGGCAATTAATCATCAAACGAATGTGAGCAATTAATGACTATTCCATTAGAGATGAATGGAAGAAAATGCATAAATTTGATGGATTTGCCAATTATTAAATATTTACATTTGCAGTTAATTTCAAGTATTGATAATTGAATCTATAGCAGTGTTTCTTTAAGTATTCAAATGATTTAATAGATTATATTTTGAAATTATTTTATATAATGCTAATATATGTAGCATACATAATATGATAGTCTGCAAAATATACATTTGTTCATATACTTTAGTTTACTTTTCTTTTTTTTAGGCAGATTAAGTGTGGAAATTAAATTAATACACAAAACATTGGAAAATAGTAATAATATAAAATTCTATAATTAATAAAAGATTTAATATAATATTTGGTCACATCTATATTACATCTTTGTATACAACATTTGAGATGGTTTCTTTTCTGAGAAGAAATTTTTTAGCACATACACTTGTCCTATAGTTATAATGAGAACAGTTAAAGTTTCAAACACTGACCACCACATAACTCTTTCATTAAGATCCTCAGCCCTTTTGCGACCTTGTGCCTCTCTCAGCCGATGGTGAGTCTGGTAATTGAGAATACTGGTCAAACTTCGATGAATCTCTTGTGCAGAAGATTCAAGTTGGGTAAGTACTGTAGCATGCTCCCCGACACCGGGTAAAGGCTGTTCATCACCAACTTGAAAGTCCATATAAACCAATTTGTGTGAGAACGTGGAAAATTCATTACTGAAACAAGCAACGTAAACACCACTTATCGGTGCAGTGAAATGATGCGAATCAAATTGGGTTTTCACTTGACTATATATAATTTGCTTATTTGGGCTTTCTAATGTTACATCAACATCATACTGACCGCCCGTGACGACCTGAAAATTTTTAAAGGCAATATAGTAATTGGTGAAAGAATCATTTACTTAATCATCGGAAATCACCTGAAACTCTAAGGTGACGCTTGTATTTTTTTGAATATCTTGGTAAAAGCATTCTTTTGCATTATCCGGTAGTTCAAAAGTTAATTCAACGCTTTGGGTACCTTGTGAAATTAATAGAATCCACAAAACTGTATACACAACATTCATTGCAGTACGCATTGCTGTCATATTATAAAAGCATTTAGACTTTTATGTTATTATCAATAATTTTTCCTAATACCTTTAATTTCAAAAATAATCTCGGTTTGTTATCGTGTCATCACCTTGTCATTTTTGCGTGCGTCAGTCGGTCAAGTCATTTCAGCTTCAGCTTAGTGAATTGACGAACCGTTTTCTGTCATCCGTTATTTTTAGTTAGCGGAATTAACCGAAAATAAATGACACATAGATAAAAGAAGAGCAGATTGACACATTGACACGACCATGACGCGACAGTTGTGAAATCTGTTTCGGCTTGAAAACATCAACAAATCAACAAAATTTCGTTGAGAATGAATTGTGCAAGAGCTCAAGTATAAGCTTCTACAAGAAAGACAAAATATTTAGGTATTTTCCAGCTGTTCAAAATTGGATTACCATTTCACACGGATCTGAATATATGTACTTGGAGAAAATGAATTGCTTAAGAATGTCGAATTTTTACACGGTATGATTATTAACACGTATCTATATCCATCCATCCAACTTAATTATTAAGAAAATGATTAAAATATAAATAATTTATTCAATTAAATCTCATTTATTTTGCATTTTCCATGTTTGACATAAAAATCCTTAACCTAAAATTAAGTTTACAATACATTTGTCTACTGAATGGTTTTCAGGTTATGTTGAAACATTTCAATTTGCCATTGAAATAGTGCATATATTATTAATTATTACGTTGAAAAGTATGAAAAAGTGATTAGGAAGGCCTTTAAACAATACACAAACGATTAATATAGTGAATGTTGTGTTTTTACGCCAATAATCCTTATTAATATGATCCTTAACAATATAATCCTTATTAGAATATAGGGTCCGTTCGTTTTCCAGTGTTTCACACTTTTTATAGTTATTTTGTGAATAATTAAATTAGTAATGAATATGATTCTGGTTCTGAATATGACATGATTTTGATTTTTTTTTTTTTAATAAAGTTTACTTAATTATAATAATATCACATTTTTTTGTACATACTCGTACCTGATTCATACAGAATTTTCCTGTTTTTTTTTGTTAAATGCGAAGCAATAATGAGATACAATTTTCCAAAGTTTCAACAAGCAAGTGTAACTGCTGTTATCTCATAAACAATTTTCATTCTGTGCGAATTACATTCATTCTTCGAGAATTTTTTTATTTTGGGTTTTATTTAAAAAATTATGTTGGCTTGTTAATTAATAAAGGATTTAATTAGATCGAATTCTATGTAATATTATAGTAATAAGTCTAAGGCTATCGGTGGCCTTAATCTTACTGAAAGCACAATTCTATAAGTATCATAAAGTATTAAGAAAATTAATTTATATTTCTGTGATAAACAAAAAGCCCATGAAATATAAATTCAATGGCCGCCAAAGATTTTTCCAATTAAATTGCACAAATTAATGTTAGCATAATTTTGTTAAGAGGGTTGAATTAAAAGATTATTTTTTATGGATTCAAAATAGTGCAGGAAAGCTTTAGTGAGTATAGCTATGTTTATAATTATACTATTTTGTTCATCTTAATTCAATACAAATCTCTGTGTTTACAGGTTCAGAATTAAATTTTCTTTAATCATCTTGGAAATTTTGCAATTGAAATCAGTCGAAGCATTTGACAAAAATACAATTTTGGGATGAAGTGTGAGTCAGTGATCCTAGTCAACCCATTCATCAAACAGTAGTTGTTTAATTCAGTTCAGGCAATTGCCTTAAGGTACTCTCTTGTTTACTAATATAGAAAAGCAAGAATATTGTTACAATATTGTTCTGATAATTCATTTATTATCTATAATAGCAAATAAAACAGAAGCGTTTGTAATTTTTTTGTACTGTTTGAAACTCATATTGCTCATAACAGAAATGCTAAGTTGCTGTATAATTTTTTACAACATAATGTGTAAAAGATAAAATGTTCGAATATCAACTCTTTTGAAATATAGTTTCAATGTCTTGTCTGACAAGAAACTTATTAATACAATTGTGTTAATAAAGTTGCATATACCCCTTTTATAAGAATAATCATATAATTAAGTTCTTTCTTCAACTAACTTTGTATCTCATTTACATTGTTAAATTTCATAGGACTTACATACAGCTTGCTAGTGGTAACAAATTGCAATGCGACAGAACAAAACAAAACTAAATACATGCAAATTAAAGAACATCATTTTGAGAACACAATTACATCATCCATATTTATAAGACATCTGCAAAGCACATTAAAATATTCAACACATTCACGCCGTGTTCAGTTTTGACTAATGTTTTTATATAGCTATGCATCAACTAATTTAAATTTTTTTATTGCAACCATTCATCAGGACTTAGTTAAATTGAAGCACCCTTGATTGTTTCAAGAAATATTTAAATGCTATTTACCAAATAGTTATACACATTAATTGTAATTGAATTAATAAAAGTTAATATTCCAAAGCTGTATTTTGAAAAGGTTTCAATACTTTGTTCATCTACAAGTTTGTGAAATACACAATGTATTGATTTATTAATTGCAAGTAGTGAAGTAAAATGTAGGACTTGGTCAGGAAACAAGTTTTGAACTTTTCTTTCTACTAATAGAAATAGCATAGCAGTACATGTGTCTAGCATAATAATTATATTATTCATGTAGGTTATTGGCAGCTGGGACTTGAACAACCGGGTACAACTCACTCTTTCGTTGGTTACATTGGCCAGGACGTGGAATGGATAGAAGAGTAAGTTCAGATGAGTACTTATTTTAATTCAATTCTATCATAATTATGAGCATGTGCAAGATTATCCAAATTAAAAAAGTGTTTGCTTGAATTTGATGACAGATAATTCGTTTAGTACCATCGAAAATTGATTGGCTCTGTTAATTGTATAGTAGGTTACTAGTTTTGTTAACAATGCGGAAAAATTGTTTTGTGAGGATTTGAAATTTATACAATTTTGCTGAATTTATTTAATAGTTGATTTTTTTTTCATTACAATCTTATAAATTTACGATTAATATTTTATGATTATGATTATGATAAATATTTTAAAATTTTTAATTAATTCAAATGATTTATTTGCTCAAATTTGCTTGTAATATTTGTACAAAGTGCAAAAGTTTATCTACATTCATCAATGAAAAATGGTATCTTACTGTGTGTATATTAATCATCAATTTTTTTTCGATAAATTAAAATTCAATTACGTTTTTATTTTATGTATTTTCTTACTTCTATTATTTTTTAAAATGATTGTTTTAAGTAATTCATTTCACAAAAAAAATCTGAACATATGTATTCTTTTTTAGAAATTCAATATACATTCAACTAAACATGTATAAGACTCCAAATTATTACCAATAATAATTCAATTTTCAGTGAGTGATTATTTAAAAAATAACAATAGATTTTTTTTTTAATCAGTTTTTGCAAAAAGTAAAAAAATTGAATAAAAACAATTTGGATTCTAAAGAATTTTTATGAATTTGTATATATATAGAAAATAATATAAATTTTAATAACTTTTTGCATTATTGTATAAAATAAATATTGCAGTTTATTTCATGCAATATTGCAATAAATTGTGGTACTCGTCAATTTTAATGTCTTAATTATACAGTAGTAATTATTATCATCAATTTGCAATCGTGCATTTCTGCTCATAACTCATATAATTTTATTATTATTTGTAGAAATACGCCTGCAGAAATACAAAAATTGTGCATTATCAAATTGTAAGGTGATTAGATTGGAACAAGTACAAGCCAACTGGTAATCAAAGTTATACTTTAGTTGATTTATTTATCAAAATAAATATACACAAATAGAAATGAATACAAATATACATTCTCTAAATATAACTGGCTCAAAAATTTAGTTTTCATATTTCAAGTCATTTTTTCATATTTGAAGTCATTTTAAATATGTTTTCTATTTGTTTTAGTGTCATCACCTTTTTCCATAATTTTTTTTTTTATTTTTTTATTTTATTTTTATAATTTGTTTTCATCTTAGTGTCTTTAAAAATATTTATTGTTTAATATTTGTAAATTATATTTTATTTTATATCGACATTATTTTAGTTATTATAAATTTCTAATTTTATAATTTCAAATTAGAAATTATAATTAAGATATATCATAATTTAGACATTATTAGATATTTTAAATTGTATTAATTTCATAATTTTTATATTGCAATATTAGATGGACAGTTATCCATGGATTTTTCATAGTGTTTATTGATTTGTAAATTTTAATATCAATTTTAAAATCTGTGAACTGTTTTTAAGAAAAACAGTTCACAGAAAAAAAATGTCTAAAAATGGTATAGATTGTCGAAAATATTGTATATGGCCCGAAAGTGTTAATTGTTTGAAAGTGCTGTAATTTGTCTATCATGGATCCATGCCTTTTCACTTAAATCAAATGTGCGAAAAACATACACATTTTTCCTATCAATATTT